CTAATGTCCAGTGCGCAAGTCACCACTGAAACATTTTGTGTTCCATTCTTTGGTCATCTTCAAAAGCTGCTCACTGTGTACCCTTCTGCCCTTGTTCCTACTGGTCTTGATAGCTCAGGACCCCTGTATCTGCTAGCAGACCTCCAACAATCCCCCACCCCCTTCCCTGAGCTGGTCATGAGGAGTCCTACTTTTAAATTAGGAGGTTAAAGTGGCAATGGGAAGAGCCCAGAGAGCTAGAGCTCACAGAGAGCCCAAGCTTGGCAGTGGTCAGGCCTGCAGTAGCTGTGCTTTCCTGGAGACACATTCATTGTGGGAAAAAAAACTTTTTTACCCCGAACTCTTTGCATCCAAGACCCCCAAAGTCAATTTTTCCACCTCCCCGGGCTGGGTTCAGGTGTTCCCAGCTCTCTGGAAGCCCTCTGCTCTTTTTGGCAGTGCTGAGGCAGCATGACTGCAAATGACCTTGGTCTTAGTGAGTGCTGGTTCATCTGTAGGGTTTAGACTTATCGGGAATAGCTGGGTGCTGGGGCTGGGGGTAAGCATGAATTCTTCTGTAAGAGTGTCAAAAGCAAGGTACTCTGACACCTTTTGAGCACATTTTTTTTTGGAGGGGGAGGCAGTTGATTTTTGGGGGGGGTTGGGAAAAGAAATAAGATGATGTTTGGTTATATTTGTTGTATTAGAAAAGAAGAAAGTTTTCCTTTTTAAAATGAATTACTAAGATTTGCCTGGGGAAAAAAATCTCTAGGTTAAAGAAAAAGTGGAGAGAGAAAAAGATGGAACAAGAACAGGCAGATAGTTAGACTATTATATTGTTATACTACTCTCTCCTTTTGTATATTTTTGAAGATTTCTATAATACAAATGTAAAATATATAAATTAGTTCAACTGTTACCCCACTCACCTTTGAAATGAGGCAAAAGTAACTCAGGAGCATCAAAACACTCCTGCCATAAAGAGTCCCCACCGTGAGTAAATTCCATGTATCGCACACACTGAAATGATGTTTAAATCTTTCAGTAAAGATATCCTATACTGTCACCTGGTGAACACCGATTAAATTTCATGCAATCTACTAGAAGTCTTTTGGGAGACTACAGAATGATACTGTCTATCTCTTCAAAGCAAATACAAAAAAGGCCCTTTACGTATTTCTTTCTTAAAAAAAAGGGAAAATGTTTCATTGCCTCTGTCTCTTTCCTTTTTAGACTATATCCAGGCCCACCATGTACCAAACCAGTCAGCTCAGTTTGCTCAAAATTATGCACCCAAAGCCAGCTTCATAAAAATGTAGGGTTTGCATTCATCAGTGCTATGCTAGAATTTAAATCTTAGTTTCATGACCTTGTAAGAAACTGTGGTTTAGAGACACAATTACTGTGATTAAGGTGATTTCACAGTGTGTTGTTTCCTGGCAAATTTGTAATTAAACTCTACTAGGGTGAGCAAGTCATTAGGGTTTTAGAGAAAATCCAATGTCTCTAATCAAAAAGTTTTGATATCAGAGGAGGCTGGGAGTCAGGATGAGGTCATGATTTGGTGCCCAATTAATGTGGGGTAAACCAAGCCCACTAAAAGCAACTACTAAGGGGTCAAAAGACCATGTTCTGGACAACATTAAGCTTTCACTGAGTATGGTGGCTCATGCCTGTAATCCTAGCACTTTGGGAGGCTGAGGCAGGAGGATCGCTTTAGGCCAGGAGTCTGAGACTAGCCTGAACAACATAATGAGACCCCATCTCTAAAAAAAAAAAGAAAAAAGAAAAAAGAAAACATTGTGCTCTGCATAAAGAATAAATAATTACTGCCCAGTACATGAGCTAGGCATCACAATCACAATGCAATGAGAATTCAGAATACAGGAGGATAAAACCAACAGGGGAAGCGTTAAGCCCCCTTAACACTTCCAGCAAAGAAGGCAGAACAGAGAGGATTCT